AGAAATAGAGAAACAGAAAATGCATTGATAATAAATACATACCAATGATAATAATAACAATGATTATGAAATTGAAAGAAACTACAAAAATGCAAAATAAAGAATACAGAATAAGCAGAAATGGATATAAAGAAAGAATAAGATATAGAAATTAAACACAAATATATAATAATAAATGGAATTAATTAGTTAAATATAACAGAGATTACTGAAAAAAGAAATAAAAAAATCGACTAAAGAAAATAGAATCTAATAACACGAATCAATAATCATTTCAACAAACCTGTTAGTAATTGAAGAGAGTATTAAATTAATAAATTAATTAAAAAATGAAAAAAACAAGATAAAAGACGTTAGAAACGTTGTAATTAAAAACCTAATGTATGTTCATAGAATATTATTATCTCCCTCACTCAGATATATTCATTTGATTTTATAGTAAGAATCTGATGTGAATATTCTCAACAGTGCACTTAATAATAGACAAGAATTTTATTAATACTTCATTAACTATTTTTATGTACAGATGAATAGTAATTATTAAAAAGACAAAACATTAAATGTTTTACAATGAAAAATTCATAGAAGTTTAATTTATTGTTTAAAATTATATTTTTTCATAGAAAAGTTATAATAGAAATAAAAGATGGGTTGTTCAATCAAGTAGATATTTTTCTCTTTGTATAAAACTCAATTTTGAATTAAAAGAAATAAAAACTCATTGATGAGAAAAAAAGAGAAGTGTAAGAATATTTAAGAATGAATAAAATAACAAAAGAGATATTTTAATTTAAAGGCATTAAATAAGTTTTAAAAGATAATGAACTTAAAGGATAAGAAAAAGAAATAAAAAATTTTGATATAAATACAATTAAAAAAAATAACAAAATAACAATTAACGTTTTTAATAACATTTAAATAATATTGATAAAAATTGTTTTTTATTTTTAAACTGAAAAAAGGTAATCTTAAAGATGTCAGAAGACACAACATACTCATTTTATGAATATCTATTACATAGCCATGGATATCCTTCTGATTTAGAAACAATTTTAAAAGAGTCAGAAGGGACAATAGATCAAATTATTAAATTAACAGAAGAGTTTGTAAAAGAATTTTTACATGAGAGTATAACATCATTACCACCACAAAAACCTAAACGATTGCAGATGTTACAATCTGTAGTAAAAAATGATTATATTACGTATCGTGTGATTGGACATGTTCATTCAATATTTTCAGAATTAAATGGAACTCCAAGACAAGGACTTTTGTCTCCAACAACACGAGCATATATTGAATTTGAAAAATGGGTAATACCAGAAGTAGCAGTGAAAGGAATAGAAGAATATTCCCATTTAATTATTTTATTTAAATTTCATTTAAATAAGAATCATGCCTATCACCCATTAGTCCATCCACCTAAACGAGGGAAAAAAACATCAGTTTTTACAACAAGATCACCACATAGACCAAATAATATTGGACTAACTGTTTCATTAATTGATAAATTTGAGAATAATAAATTATATCTAAAAGGAATAGATCTTGTAGAAGGAACACCAATTATTGATATTAAACCATATATTTTTGCAGATTCTATACCAATAGAACAAATCAAACAACCAGAATGGTTATGTCGTTCATCTCATGCAGAAAAAATTAATGTTGAAATTGATGAAAAAGTAATACCAAAAATGAAAGAATTAATTAATAAATTAGAGTTTTATAAAAGTATTGAAGAATATATTGAAGTTATAAAAGAGGTATTATCACTTGATATTAGAAGTGTTCATATGCAATCAAAACATGAAATTAAAAGATATGGAGTTTTAATAGATAAAACAAATATTATATTTTGTTATGAAGAGAAAGGGATAAGGGTAATTGATATTGAATATATAGAATGTCCTGATAAATATTCTAAAATAAAGAAATAATTGAATTAAATTTAAAACCTCAATTTAAAATAAAAAAGAAAATAAAAAGAAAATAAAACTAATTAAAATAAATAATGAAAATTAAAAGATTAGACCAAACTACTATTAATAAAATTGGTGCCGGAGAGGTTATTCAAAGACCGTTTAACGTAGTCAAAGAATTAATTGAAAATTCCATTGATGCACATTGTTCATCTGTTATTATAAGTATTGGAAAAGGAGGATTAGAAAGTATTGTTGTAACAGATGATGGATGTGGAATTTCACTTGAAGACTTAAAAGTATTAGGAGGAAGATATACAACAAGTAAAAGTATTGAAGGAGATACATATGGATATCGAGGAGAAGCATTGTCATGTATGACATATGTTGGTAAAGTGACTATTATAAGTAGAACAGCTACAAGTGAAATTGGTTATAAAGTTGTATTTCAAAATGGACAAATAATAGAAAACCCAATTCCTCTTGCTTGTAGTATAGGAACAACTGTAATTGTTAATAATTTATTTGATAAAATGTTAAGAAAAAAATCAATGAAAGAAACAGAAGAATATAAAAAAATCATTTCGATAATTGGGGATTATGCAATTCATAAAGCAAACATTGCATTTACACTTAGAAAAGCAGGAACATCAGTATGTGAAATTAAAACAGAAAAACATTCAACAATACTAAAGAATATAAGTAAAATCTTCACAACAAATATTTCAAATAATCTTCAACAATATTCTTATCAATGTTTAGAACCACCATTTCAAATGATATGTTATTTAAGTAATTCAACATTTCAAGGTAAAAAAAATAAAATGATATTTTTTGTTAATGATAGATTTATCGAACACATTGGACTTAAAAAAGTTATTGAAAGAATTTATGATGAATATTTACCTAAAGTCAATTATTTTGTTTATTTGTCTATCAATGTTAATAAAGAAAGAATTGATTGTAATGTTAATCCAAGTAAAACTGCTATAAGACTATTAGAAGAAGAAAAATTAATTAATCAAATAGATAAATTTCTTAATTCAATTATCATTGAATTCTCTCAAACAAGAAGTTTTCCTCCTTCTCAAATTAAAACACAACCAATACCAAATATTCAACAAGAAAAATATTTTAATAGAGTTGATTCTACTTCTACTTCATTACTTTCTTATGTTGATGATGATAGAAAAAAGGTATTACAAAATACAAGGTCTCAATATTCAATTGGAAAATCAACGTGTAATAATGAAGAAATAAAAATTGAAAATAACGAAGAAATTAAATCCCCTTTTAAAATACAAAGAAAAAAAGAAAATGAAGAAGAAGAGGAAAATGAGTCAAATAGAAATGTTTTAAAAGAAGAAAGTAATGAAACATCAACAAAATTACCTAAACAACCAGAAAGTTTAAAACATAATACTTCACTTAAAAAAATTACAAAGAAAGAAAAAGAAAATAATAAAATTCATATTGAAGTTATAAAAAGAAGACCAAATAAATTTAAAGAAGACTTTTTACCAAGTTTAGCCAAATTAAGAAATGAATTTGAAAAAGAAAATGTTAATATTGATATGATTCCAATATTAAATGAAAGTACATTAGTTGGAATGATTGATACATCATATGGAATAATTCAATCGAGTACAACTATGTTTTTAATTCATATTCCTACTATTATTCAAGACTTAGTTTATCAACAAGTTATTTATTCATTTGCTTCATTTAATGTAATAGAAATAGAACCTAAACTTACTATTAACCAATTACTTGATGTTACTAAATTAAATGATGAAAAACAACAATTTATTAAAAATCAATTAATTCAACATCGCTCTTTATTGTTTGAATATTTCGCTATTACTATCACTGAAAATGGAGAAATTACAACACTTCCTGATATTCTTCCTGGATATTTACCAACTGCTTCTGCTTTTCCATTTTTTATTTCTTTATTTTCAGAAATAAAATGGGATGATGAGATAAGTTGTTTGAAAGAAATTGCAATAAATATTGGAAAATATTATTCAATTTTACCAACAGATATGTCAGTAATAGATTTAAATAAAATGGTTGAACATTTATTATTGCCATATATTAAAACAATGTTAATCCCACAACAATCATATGAAAATGTTGTTATTACTCATATTGCAGATATAGCTAAACTATATCATGTATTTGAAAGATGTTAATTTAAATAAATCATATTTTATAATTATTTTTATAATTATTTTTATTATTATTTTTATTAATAAAATATTGAAGTAAAACTCTGTTAATAAAGAATATGATGATGAATCTAACAATAATTTGAATATTGTAACTTCTCCAAACAACAAAAACAAAACAATAAAAACCTGAGTAGACAAATAAATATCAATAAGTAAAAAGTTTTTTTATTTTATTTTTTATTAGCTAATAAAACACGTTGATGGCGACATAAAAAATTGTTGACAAAAATAGGAAATGACAAAATAAAAAGAAGAATTAAAAGAAACAAAAAAAAACGAGTTCATTGTGGTGATCCCACATGCAACCACCGTATAATCCATTCAATTTTCACAATAAACATGACTGTGAAAATGATGTTGTAATTCGGTCATGTGGAAAACCCATTCAAACTAATTTAAACCATTTACTTGAAAAGAATGAATTAAGGAAAATGAGTATTGAAGAATTTAATGAATATAAGAATAAATTAACTGGCTTTAGAAAATTAGAAAATGAAGAAGAATTAATTTTGAAAGGAATTGAGCGGAAGTTGAAATCTTTAGAATCATTAAAGAAATGTAGGAAGAAAAAGAAAATCGAATTAGAATTGATGTCAAAAGAAATTATTGAAATTAAAGAAAAAACAGTGGAATTAAAAAAACAAAATGAATCAATTACACAGGTTCTATGTGATTGTCAAAATTGTAATAAACGTTTGACTAAAATACCTTTGAATTGATTTTTTCTTTTCTTTTTCAAATAATTAATAATTTAAAAAATTAAAATTAAAAAATTAAAAATTAAAAAAAAAGAACTATATAATTATAAAATAAAAAGTTCATAAAAAAATATGAAACTTTATTTTAATTTTGTTTTTAATGAAAATAATGAAGAAGATTGCTGTTCAGAAGATAACAATTTATGTAGAATTGGATTATTTCTTTGAATGGTAATAGAATTGTTATTACATACAAGAGTAAATAAATATTTGTTAATAGCTTTTCCTTTTTTAGTGATTTCATCAATGTTCATTACATAATTATCTTTATAAATTTTTTGAATTCTTTCTAATTGTAATGTTTGTTTTGATTTTCTTGAATATTTGGATTGAAATAAATATCCCATTTCAAGACAAACATCAATTAAGAAATTATTTATAAATACTCTTTTTTCTTTTCATAGTTTCTAACACAAGTCTCTTCTTTAATACCTTTTTGAATATCAGCAATAAATGAATTCGCATACATACTCTCTGAAAGTCTCTTTACATTAATCTCTTCTGTTCCAATGGTTAATTTTATTAGTTGTGGATTATTCAATGTAACTGTAGATAATTTTGTTGGTAATTCCAGTGTAAATTCACAATATTTATTTAATAAAGCAAGAAGGATACTTTGTTGAATTGATTCAAAACTTTTTAATTCATTTTTTTGTTTTAAATATTTCTTACAAACAGCTTTATTTCTATTCTTTAAACCTTTTTCAATTATTACATTATTATCAGAGGAATTATTTATAAATATTTGTGTAGATGGATCTTCACCAATTGGTGAAGGTGTAAGATGTTTAATTTCCATTAAAATTGTGTTTAGGTCTTTTAGTTCTTCATTACTATTTAAGTGATAATCTTTTTTTTTTCTTTCATTTCTATTAATCTCAGTAAATCTTTCTCTTAATCAAAATATTATCTTAACTCTCTTTTTCTTTTCATTTTCTTCCTTTTATCTTCCTATCCTTAAAGTTCTTTAAACTCCCTATTTTAGGATTATTTTTCATACGAAAAAAAATTTGATTTTTCTATGCCTTTGAAATTTTCTATGGATCTAATAAAAATTTTTATTACTCTTATTCACTTTTTTTTTAGTACATTACCTGTACTTTTAAGTTTTTTGATTTGTTCATTACTAATTTCTATCATCTAAGAAATTCAATAACTTTTTAATTCTTTTTAATTATCAAAATTTAAAAAGTGTTTTCTTTCAGTAATTATTAGTTTAGTTTTTTAAAAATGATAACATCGTACAACGAATTTTGTTAATAATAATTACCTTTTTCTTTTTAAATAAAATTTTTTTATTTTTTAAATTGAACAGACAATTTTTTTTTAATTTTTATTTTATCAATTAATGAGTCTTATTTGTTGAATAAAAATAATAAAATATGAAATTAAAATAAGACATTAAATAAATACTTAATAAGAATATATATTAATTGGATAAATAACTATTTTATTTATACTATAAATATATTCTTTTTTTATGAGTCATTAAGACATAATTCAAATATTTTAAAAATGATAATAAAAAAAAAGAAAACTATCTAAATATTAGTAATAATAATTAAGAAATATTTATTATTTTTAATACTTGTATTACGTTATAAGAAATAATACTAGAGGTAATACTAGAGGTAATAATTCTTAATTATTTTCTTCTAAATATGTATAAGAATAAAAAAATTAAAATAAACAAGAATATGTACAATCTATTTTATAAATAGAATAGATATAGAAATCAAAAAACAGTGATCTAAAACTCTTTTATTGTAGAGAAATGCAGTCATTCGGTCACACAAGTAAAGGAAAAGAAATAGAAAATACAGAAAAAAGTATAAAAAAGAAAATACAAACCAGACTATTTAGGCCACTTATAACTATTCCTTCAAGTAAAAAGAATAGCTTTATCTTTGAAGATCCTATTGATGATGAAGACTCTGTTATTATGATAGTGAAACAACCAAAAGCAGCAAAAGGACATTCTGCTAATGCTATCAAAGAAAGACAAATAAAAAATGAAATGTGCTTCCAAGCTGCTGTTTCTCTTGCTCTTCTTCATCCATTTTGTGGATTTACAATTCGTAGACCAATTAAAGCATCTACAGCAACGAATTCAATGTCACTTGTTACTCATATTCATTATAGAAGTGATACAATAGATCTTTTACAACTTTCATCAACTTGTTGTAATTTATTATACTCAAAAACTGAAGAAAATTCATTAAAAAGTATTGCCATTAGAAGAAGAATGAATAAGAGTGTTATCTTCTTCATTTTGAATTATTTACTAGATCTTTTAAGAGAATTTGGATTCTTCTTTGACTCAATTTATGCTAAAAAGACTTGTAAAACACTTCAGCAAGAACGGGTTATTAGAATTTATTTTAATAACAAACTTCTTTTTTCAAAAGATGAAATTCAACGTTACGGAAAGGTAATTAATGATTACTTATTTCATCTTGCTGATAAACAAACATCGGCATATGTCGATAAAAATGATTTAAAATTTGAACAATATATGGAAGCAAATATTCCATCTTTTTATCAAAAACTAGAATCTCTCTTTCGGTAAGTTGTAATTCTTTGTTTAAACCCCTTTAGTTTTAATTCTTTTTATGTTGTAATTCTTTTTATTTTTTTTTCTAAATTTTGTGAGGAATAACTTCATTGAATATTAAATATTCATGTATTTAATTTAATTTTATATCATTTTCTTATTTAATAAAAGGAATTCATCAATATTTCGATTACCCCCTATCTCTATAAAAATATATTTATAATTTAATAAAAAACAGTTAAATAAATGAAAAAACATTTATTATAACTTTTTGGTTATATAACAAAAAATATAATAATTTCGTTATTTTAAAAATAAAGTATTGTTATATATCACAATAAAAAATAAAATAAAAAAGAAATAAACAGTACTAAAAATTCGAGTTATACTTTCAAGATTTATGTGTTGTGGTAGTTATTCTTAATAAAACCATTTTTGTATGAACAAAAATAAAAATAGACATGAAATTTTTAAAATTTTGTCTAATAAGAAGAGAAAAAAACAATCATTGACTCCGAAAAAAAAACAAAACATTCTCAGACTGATCGATTTGTATATCTTATGTTTTCAAATAAAATCATAGAAATCAAAAGAAAAGAAAAAAAAATTAAAATAAATTAATTTTTTAATAAAAGTATTAAACAAAATAATAAATAATAATGGTACTACCAATTGCCCCAAAACTCTTTTAGACAGATTAATCTGAGAAAGAATTTTCTATCTCTGTTCCCGAAATTTCATGCTATTAAAGCTCATCTGTTTTTTATTTTATTTATCACTTTCCAATGCAAACACCACAACAAGTTCTTGTTTCTCCTACTTATGTTGCACTTCCACAATATCAACAACCAATTTATATAGAAAGTAAACCATCACCACAACAAAGTGTTCATTCAGTGATTTCTATTCCAGTACCTGTTGTTCCACAAACTAATAAAGAAAATGAAATTAATGATACTGCTGCAAATATTTCTTTATTATTTATTATTATTGGATTTTTCTTCCCATTAGTTTGGATTATTAATTATGTTCTTTTCAGTAATAGTAAAGATAAACGTGCTTCTTTATTTGCTCGATTATCATTGTCTATGTTTGCTATTGGAATTATCTTTTGTGCTCTTCTTATTTGTTTCATGGTAATATTTTGAGATTAATTTTTAATTGCATGTTATATATTCATTAATTACTCTTCTCTTATTGTTTATTTTATTTCATAGATAAATCGTTCAAATATTAATTAAAATTTAATTTTCTTTTTAAATCGAATCTTATTTTAAAAATTAATTTTAATTAAGTCGTATTCAAAATTGTATTAAATCAATTTAACATTAACAACTTGTTCTAAATCAATAATATTCTCGGATATTTTTATATAGTCTGTATAAATACTATAAACAGGAATTAAAATATGTTCTTTACAATGTTTTATTCATAATAGAGCTTGTTGATAAAAAGAGAATATAAATATTCTGAATTAAGTCGAACTAATATTGTATTACTTGGTGTTAATATTATTTAATTGTTTGTAACATTCTTATTGAATATTTATATATTAAAATCTATTATAGACAGAAGGTGGCATGTCTGAAACACCACATACAAACACATATAATTCAAGCTTCTACTCTCCTTGTTATTATCTGGTTATGATGATGCATTTGAATTAGAA